TTATTTTATAAGATAAAATATTTGCTTAATTATTAATTTATTAACTATATTGAATAAATAAATAAATTATTAGGCTGATGAAACCTAGTTAAATATACGGCTTTTAAAAGTTTTTAAATCAAGGTGATTTAGGCTGTGGATCAATGACCAACTAAATCAATTCTTCAATAAAATTAAAATTAACAAAGAAGATATATTTACAGTTATGTATATTATTTGTGGTTTGGATTTGTTTTGGTTCCGAAATTATAGAATGTTTCAAGAATTTTATTAGAATTATGCAGAATAAGTTGGGCAGTGACAAAAATAATAATCGATTCAAGAAAGTATGAACTGAAACACTTTTGTTCTTCTTTTTCGCATTTGTCCTTTCTACAGCCTTTTATTTTTAAGAACAGGAAGCCAATCTGTGAACTACATAAAAATATTATCTGCAAAACTAAAAATTATTTAATTTCAAATAAGTCATCCCATCATGGATAATGGTAATATGAATAAATACGTTTCTGTTGTAAATATAAGTTTTTTCTTTTCAGTTAAATAAATTCTAATAAAAAGACAAACGTATAAAAGGCACCAACAAAACTTAATTTCAAATCTCAAACGTGGACATCATTAGCTCAAAAGATATAAACGAAATGAAATAAATCAATAATTGGTGGTCAGTTGTCGTTTCATAGCTTTCTTTACCATACGCATGCTCGAACTAAAAACTATAAAATCTACTCGACCATTCACTGTTGGGTTCTAATTAACAGTGCTATTCCTAAAGTGACGCTGGGAAACAGTAACAAAGCCTACACAGAACACGAGCCTAATGGCCGTAATAGTCGACGCCGATGACAACAAATTAAAAAAAAAAAAAAATTCCTGCTCACAAGTAAGAACTGTTTCAACCGTTCTAGAATAGAATTTTACGTCTGAACTATGGAGGGTAGAGGAAAGGAGAAAAATCTCTGTATACAAAAAGTGTCCCTCAAAATGTATACAATTAAGATGGCGCTTCTGTGCCCAGGGGACGTCGACAGTCGATAATTCAGATCACACAATGACACCAATGATGTATATAGTAATAAATATTGCTCAACCATAAAAAACTAAAAACTACACCGTGAAAATTGACTGATCGTAGAAGAGTAAGTGTTCTGTGATCGTAGATAAATTTTGACAATACACGACAATAGTCAAATTTTATTGAAAAATAATAATATAAACAATAAATAATTCTTATATTAAAATGGCACTGAGGTCTCAATTTACTGCTTCCTGTCTGATTTAATTATGAATGAGCAATCTATATGACTATATAGCATTGGATTTTGTCCCCTGGCTATACGAGCGCCATCTTAATTGTATACATTTTGGTGGCCACTTTTTAATATAAAGATCCATATAAGATTGTCCTCCTTTTCTCTACCCTCCATAGTCTGAACTGATTCGAAATTAACCAAAACACTTTGAAATCACTACGCATGTCAGAACGGTCTTTAAATTGAAACCAAAACAAACCTGATCTGCATTGGGATTCTCATCTCTCAATTCGGTACGTGTTGAGGCGACTATCTTTGTTCCACAGAATGCGATTCGTATCTAATGTCTCTCTCTATTCAGTTCGTTATGTGTTGAGTACGCACATAAGAATCCCTGTACAGATAGACTTAATAATGGTTTTAAACAGACCAAAGTAACATAATAAATAGGTATCTATTGTAAAATAATCGTTGTAAAAATGTATTAAATAAAATATCAAAAGGAATAAAAAATTTTGGCTACCTATTTTAGAAAATTGTCAATTTTAAATCTAAATTCGAGAGACGCTAAAATAATGGTTAACACCGTATCGCGACTGGGGCCACAAGGGTAAACTCGTAGCGTAATAAAAACGAGAAATGATTTGACTTGGAACGAAAGACCGAAAGCCGATAGTAGTATTAGGACGTTAAATTTTTTGTTTTGTGAAGCATTGGCATTACTTAGGTTCAACCATGTGATGATTTTCACAAGCCTTGATTTTTAAAATCATTCTATATCGCCTTTTGATTAGGGTTTAAAAACTTGTTCGAAAAATTTTTCCAATAATAATTGGCCCCTTTACCTCTTAAGCCTGCTCATGTAAAATATTTGGGCTCCTCATTTCGCCTTTTTATATTCTATTAATAAAAGACAGAAGGATGAGTATTAAAACTATGTTAAAAGAAATAAATTGGCTTTCAGTTCAGAATTATGTTCAACACATGACTGATATTTATTTATAAAATAAAAATGACATAGTACCATCGCATCAGATCTATTAGAAAAAATTCAATAGAATTCGCAATATCACAACTATAATATAAAGCCAATCTGACTTTCATCAAGCCATCATTAAAGTTCCCAAAATATAATTTTTATTAATGGTTTAAAAAATTTAATAGACTGCCTACAGTCAATAAATGTATTCAAAAGTAATCTCAAACAATACTTGATAAATAAACAGAACGGATATACTTTCTTGTGATAATACTCTTTAAACCTGCCCTTTTTAAGTATTTCCCTTAATTTATTGTTATTTTACCCCTCGTTTTACTACTTACTATGTTTAAATTATTAATAGTTTTGAGATGATAGGTTATAGCAACTTATAACCACAAAACTCTGTGTTAAAGTAGATCCATAGAGAGCAATGTAATTTACAAAGGCCTTCTTTCAACATACACATAAATGACAAACAGGCCAAACAGGCCGTACTTTCAAAAAACGCTATTCCGAACATTATAATAGCTATACAAAAAACAAAAATAATTCTACTTACTCAAATCATATTTTAGCTGAAAATCATTCTTTTACAGACAACTTTGAAATTTTACATACAGAAAATAAGAGCCTTAAATTAAACCATTTAAAAACACTTGAAATAAATAGATTTAAAAATTCAGATAACTTACTAAATGATCAATTAGATATTAATAATTCACCCTTATTAAATCTCTTTCCTAGTTTTCTGTGAGATAATCCCGGTAATGTGCTATCTTATTGTTATCTGATTGATATTATAATTACCTAAGTACCCTTATTTACTTTAAATAGTTAGTTTATTTTGTAATGTTATTGATGTTTTTCTTAAGTACTTTGTTTTGTTAAATTATTTCGTATATATATTGGATACCGATTTGTAAATTAGTCACATTTGAAAAAGAAGTTGTACTTCGAAACATATGTCATGTTAGTGTTTAAAAAAAAAATTATATTTTTAAAATAAAAGTGTGAAAATCTACCAAATTTGGTTTTACTCTTTCAAGACAACTTTATAATTAAAATGAAAAACAACAAAATACCTCGGTATCATAATTGATCAAAATTTGAAGTGGGTTGATCACATTAATTAATTAAAATCCCAAGGTAAGAAGATTAATTTTTAAATTTTATGAATTGAGGAAATTTATGACTAGGAGTTTATTAATTATTATTTACAATTCGCTGGTTGAATATGTAAAACAGCATTATATTCTACCTTTCTTTTATATAATAAAATAGTGCTTTGTATAAGAACATTATATTATCTGTCTTGCTGTACCTTTATTTATGGAAAGCCTTAATTGAGATTCACTACAAATTATTTGCAATATATATCAAAAGAAGTATACATTTTTAAATAAATTGACATTTAAGAGCCATTCACACATCACAGTTGCATCACAACCAAGCATTATTCTGATTTTTGCCAAATAAAATGGCCGGTTAATTATTCTATGGGGTTGCGACAGAGAGCCAGTAAATTTAATGAAGATGTTTTTGTGGCTAGGGGCGAAATAGTAGTACGCTTAATTTAGCATCACCATAAAAAATTAATTTTTAAGAAACTGCTTATATATTTGTCATAAATTGGCAGGCTTGGCGACTAATTTCGAATAAAAATAGCCCCCAAAATGGCTATAGTTGCAAATATGAAGGTCGCAACCTGCCTTAGAAATTTCACCTTTACTATCAACAGCTGTTGTTTGACAGGTCATTAGAGAATGTTTGCAATTTATGGAATGTGAAGAATGTTAGGAATGTTGATGTTAGAATTAATTGGAATTCCTAAAATTGTCACATAAGAAATGCATAAGCGTATTTTAAGAAAATTGATATTAAAGTAGTTAGAATGAATCGAAAATTCTGAAAATCAATAGGGTTCTAAGTTAGAAGTAATTATTCAAGAAAATCAAAACCGCAAGTCAATATTTCTAGAGTTATTGTGCCGGCATACATACACACAGACGACCAGACGAAATTTTTTTTTGCATTTTCGGACTCAAAAAAAGTTTTAAAAAATGGGGTAAGAAAATTTTTTCGTCTGCACGAATGAAATACTGAGGCCCCATAGGAAAGGCCTCAGTAATTGTACATCTTTTAAAATAAAATTTATACATGAGTTTTGTTAAATAAGTCAACCTATATATTTTGAAATTATTTATTCCGTTAATACAAACAAGTAGCTCACTAGAAGTATATTTTTTGTTTTATAACTGTTCTTATTATCAACATTCCCGTTTTCATTAAATTTTTTTAAAATCATTATCTTCATCATTTAAGCCATAACTATTATAGGCAGTTAAAGTCAAATAATTAAGTGAAATTTAAAATTAAATTTATATATAGGGTGTCCATTTATAAAAACTCACCTATTTACAGAAAATACTGAATCATCCTGTAAGTTCCAATTTTACTATAAAACATATTCTGTTTAGATTAAAAATGAATATTTTTCATATTTTTCTAAAATAATTTTGTTTATAATAATAACAACTAAATTTAATTTCTACATAATTTATTAAGGAAAATTTTTGAAGGAAATTTACCAGAAGTCAATTATTCCATTTATTAGTCATTTTTGTAAATAATATTAAATTGTTTAATTTATTTAATTTTAATATTTCAAATACACATTTTTTTCGTTTATTACTTCAGCATCGTCCTTTAGACGAACTTAATTTTTCTATATAAAACCACATTATAAATTAATCTTCATCTTAACTTACCGTATAAGTACCAAGCCCTAAAACTGGTATTTTGTAACCTCCATTATTCAGATAGTCCATACCACATATTACCTTAGCGAACAAAACTATCCCGATCAACATATAAATCTTCATTTTGGTGCTACTTCCTACTCAGCGTCTTCGATGAAACTGACTTTGTCTTGAGTGAAATGAGAATACATCTTGTCAGTTCGAGGTCGTTCTACTTGAGCTGGTCTTATTTATACAATATTGTAGTTTGCATAAAATAAAGTGCAATAAAATTAATTATCAACGCAAGGAATAATTTTCTAATAATAATAATGACTGTGTAAATCAATAAATAATACATGTTCATTGTTCATGTATGCAAAAATCAGATTTATCGCCGATTTCAGTTGATTGTTTTCATTTACTCATTATAACAATTCACTTTTTTGGATAAAAATATAAAGTACAAAAATGTCATAACTTAGAAATAAACAAACATGTAATAAAATAATTTTAATATCACGAAGTAATGCAAAGTTACTTGTGTATGGCATTTTTTCACATATTATAATAAAAAAAATTGCATAAAAATATAAAACTTTACTAGCTAAAAAGTACCTAAACAACCATATTATTTTTTTTAGATACTAAGGTACTTAAATAGGTATTTTGACTCAAACACTGAATTTAATTTTCAATAATTTCGTGTAGAAAAGTACGTGGCATGCTCGAGACAATTTTGTTTTCATTTTCTTCTTATATAACGAAAATTTAATTTAGTTTTTAATATCACAGGGCAATAAGTTATAAATTTTTCGGATCTAAACAAAATAAGATTTTTATCCAATATCTTTCTTCGTACAAGGTGGAACGTGTGTTTGTTTATTACGGGTGACATTATTCGTGATATAAAGCTTTGATTTCTACTTTGTGGTTATACTGGATAACACATACGTTTATAAAATATTATTGTCTAAGGATCAAATATATCACTTTCACTTCACAACAAATTGATGGGAAAATCATAAACCATCCGAATAATTATTCTAATGAATCGTTTTTGGAGTATTTAAAGTGATGAAAGGTAAGTTTTGTATGCCTTCGCCATCCCATCTCATTATTTCTTGGAGCTTAATAGGCTACGATATTTCTGGGTGAATATAACCAGAAAAAATCGGAACTCTATATTTGCCTGAGCAACGGGCTACGCATTGTAACAGTGATCCTTACTGAGTATTGCCGAATAAAAGGACACCTTGGTAAACTGAAGGAATATATTGAGTATATGGTCTGTTATGAGGAGGATAGAACCTTCATTCACATTCTGACGGAATTTGTAGTACTCTAGAATCCAAGGGCACTATACTTAGGAGCCACTCCAATAACTATACTTCCTCGACAACAGGATACATATAGTAACAGGGATCCTTATTCAAATAATGTCAGATAGCCAAGCGGCACTTAAGGCCATATCGAGTCAGAAAGTTACGTCGAGGCTGGTATGGGAATGCATCGAAGAACTAAGAACACTGGCAGACCGAAATAGAGTAAAACTATTATGGGTGCCAGGTCACCAAGGGATCAAAGGCAACGAAAAGGCGGACGAACATGCAAAAAGAGGATCATAAGAAACACCGGAAGCAGACGCATACCCAGGAGTACCAAAAAGTACAGTCCGGAGTTTAATAAACGACTGGATTCGGGAACAACATATCAACTATTGGGAAAGCACCCCAAAACAGGCACATGGAAAAGCCTTCATAGGCAAACCATGTCCCAAAAGAACTGGAGAACTACTCTTTATGAATAGGAACCAGTTGAAAGTGATAACAGGGTTCATGACTGGGCACGCCCCAGTAAAGGGACACTTAAACAAAATTGGCATGTACAATGGGGAACTCATGTGCCAACTATGTCACAAGAAACAAGAAACGGCCAAACACATACTGTGCGAATGCGAAGCTCTAGATCGCAAAAGACAGGCTCTTTTTGGACAACCCCAGGTTGATCCAGCAACGTATAGAACCCACTTACCCAAGGATCTTTACAAACTTGTACAAGGTACAACGGTGACAGAGTGGGTGCTATGAACTGACATGGGATAAAACACAATAAGCCAATAAGCTTCAGTGTTATTCGGAAACATAGTCAGACGAGCCCAGAGAAAACAAAAACAGGGATCCTACCGGGCGTTGCCGACTCAAATGACATCTAAGTAAACAGCAAAGTAGAAGATATTGAGTATATGTTCTGTGAGGACGATAAAACCTTCATTTACATTCTGACTAAATGTATAGTACTCCAGAATCCAAGGACACTATACTTAGGTGCATACCAAGTGGAAGAAGGCGATCTTAAACTTGAAGCCACTCCAACATTTCCTCAAGAAGGTAGGATCGAGACTATTTCCTTGCAGCATTAGCTTTGACAATATATAAATTTTACTGTAATATAGTGTAATATATGTTAATACTCAATAATATGATAATATTGTTACATTGGTTTTTGGTAAAGTCAATTTTTTGCAAACTAACTTTTACAATTCAACGATACAACTATTAACTTTAACGTACAACGTCTATCATAAAATTGAAACTCTGACATCAGGATCATCGATTTATATAGCTCCCTTGAACCTTCTCGAACCTGCCGTAACTCAATTAAACATTTGTATATTACTATTTTTTGTTTAAAATTAAGGATATAACATATTTGTTGATTTTTACATAGTAATTAAAGCAGTGTTTTAAGCTATATCCTATGTGTTGATCTTATCTTAAGCTATGATCTAATATAATTCTAAGGTATCTTATTTTTCTTGCAGGAGTAATGTTAAACATGTTTCAACAAAAAGGCAATAATCGAGAAGAGCGTTGCTATAAGAACTTAATACAGTAATATATGGATAATCCGAACATAAGGTTGGCAGAACCCGTTCGGTTTATCAAAACTTTCGGATTATAGAATTCAAAATAAATGATATGTATAATCCGAACACGTTCGGTTTATAGATACATTTCTTAACCGTACAAATACATTACCACAAAAAGTTCACGTAATGGCTATAAAAACTTTTATTTATGTTATAAAGAAATACATACATTTATACACACTATAACGTATGTATTTCAAATTGAAAACAAACTTCTAAGAAAGAGGAACACCATACAATACATTACATAATATGTACTATGGTACATAAGTATTCGTAAGTACCTACAGGCATATTGCAAATACGAAAAATACACTAAACGTTTAAATAACAATTGGCTAAACACTTCATTGTCTCTTAATTGTTTCTTTAAACAAAATTATCAAGAGTACTTTGAACAGATTTCTTGATTATTAGATCGACAGCTTTCTGTCGAATTCTTCTTAGAAGAATCACTTCATGCAGTGGCAATGCATTTTCTGCCGCCCATTGTAGACATGAATTAAATGACATGACCGCCTCTTTACAGGATATTTTCTGAATAGGTTCGTCTTCGTCATCGGAGTTCTGATTTTGTCCTGTGACGTTAGCTATGATTTCATCCTCTTCTAAGATTTCTATATCCAAATTTTCCTCGTCATCACCTCTTGTCCATTTTTCAACTTCTATTTTATTCATCGGATTATCAACATAATTCACTCTGTTCACTAACTCCACTAGATTAGGTCTTCCATCAAGCCCTTCTTCTCTTAAGTCACTCAAAGGTATCAGATCATCTGCATCCCATTTATCCATGTTACTGTCCGAAAGAAGTTGACACTATGACTTGTTCACCTATTTTTGAGGCACTTGCTTCCAAGATTCGAATAACGCAAACACAGCATCTTCTTAGCGATACATTTTTCAAACATCGCGCAATGTTTTCATCCTCTTGTAAAAGCACCTCTTGCAGCAATCTTTTCCGATATGTAACTTTTACATTTTGGATCACATTCTGGTCCATCGGCTGAATCAGGGCGGTACAATTGGGTGGTAGAAACATTACTTGAATATTACCATCATGACTGGCTAGTTCTTGGTCTGGTCTGTGAGCTGAAGCATTATCCAATATCAAAAGAGGTTGGCCACTTGCATTTGCGCAAGACATAAATGTTGTTCAATCTTTACTGAATTTGCTACCCGGTGCACCCTTTTCGCCTGCGTGTACTAATGTATTTTCTGGAAGGCAGCGCCTGTACAAACCAGATTCATCCGCGTTGTAGATTTGCTCTGTAGAAAGACCGAATTGCTTAAGTTTTGTTTTATTTCAATACGATAAGGTTCCACGGCATTTTCGTCACTCGACAGCTTCTCCCCGGTAACTTTTAACGAGCGGATTCCAAATATGTGCTTGAAGCCTTGAAACCAACCTCTACTACCTCCAAACTTGACTTCTTCGCCATAATTCATTTCTGTGAAAAATTAGCGAGTCTTCTTGAGTATGATTGCTTCGGAAATCGGTGCATTTCGCGCTCTCTGTTGTAAAAATCATGTATATACTGCATCTTCAACATCAGAAAATTCCGCACTGTGCATCGTTTTCCTTGTTCCCGGCCCTTTTTCAGTTCGCGACACAGTTCTTGATGTCTTATATTGTTGACTTACCAACATTAAAGCGTGCTAACAAGTACGTGAATGAACATCGAGACTCCAGCTGGCGTAAAATTTTTTTCGAGGGTTAATGCGACATGCTTACGTTTAGAAGCCATGGTTTACATAATACATAGGCACAGTTTATAGCTTAAAAGAATCAGTTCGCTCACAATTGGATGTTCCAAAATAACATCCACTCCAGGGATACAAATTCAGGATGCGCAGAAGACTGCTGTTTGAATATAGGCGGTTGTCATATATTGTATTAGGCATTCCAAACAAATGAACTGCCAGTGGGAAGATTTGATATATCCAAGGGTTGCGACATACGATATATTCTGTTTACAATACGTAAAATCATGAATAATGTATTACATTTAAATATTTTATGTCAAACACAATAAAAATAAGATACATTTTTTCATAAATTTGCAGGCTTTTTGACTATTATTTCGAATAAAAAAACACGTTCAAGATGCAAGACTATGTCTCTACCCCCTTAGATATACCAGACCTTCTCACTGACAGCTATTGCTTGACAATTGATAATAGTAAGAGAGCCCACTGCAAATTACGACCGCCATCTGATAACAAAATGAAATATGCTCCAAAGACATGTAACAACATTGTACTTTACCAAATTGCACCTGTGCCAATCTGCAATCCAGAGCAAAGTGGTTAAAAAAAATTATTTTTTCTACTA